CTCCCCTGGGGGGAGACCCTTGCACAGCGCTGGTGTCCCTGCCTGGCTTAGAGCATCCAAGTAGAAGTTGGAGGTATTGCACTGATGGTGCTGCTGTGTTTGAGAGCTTTCCTGTCCCTTCTTCCTACCAGCCTGCCTCATGACGGGTATCTCTGGTGTCAGTGAGTGCAGGATCCGGCCCATTTCCACATGGAGATGGAGCAGTTCTGGCCTGAAATGCTATCTGAAGAAATGCCACCATGTCAGCAAGTGTGACAGAGCACTGGGACAACCTGCCACACCAGCTGATGTGCAGGAAGCTTCTCTGGAAAGCACAGATTTCCAGACCTCCCGGTGGTTTCTGACCTAACAAGGCAGCAGCCTCCGGCACCAGCGTGTCCCTGTTAGTGCTGCATCGGCGTGGGGCAGAAACAGATTGTTCCAAGCACACGTTTGCAGCCAGCTCCAGCCTGGGTGGCATCAGAGGGCTGGGAAATGGCTTGGCAGAGGGTGGGACATGCCCACTGCTGTTGTGTGACCAAAGCATCCTTCCCTTCCACCTCCATCAAATATGTTTGCCTTTCCCTTGGCCACAGAGGTACAGGAAAGGGCCTGGCCATGTCTTGGAAGATCCGAGTCAGGGACTTGGGAGTGACAGGAGCTGCTTTCTGGTACTCACACTTCGCAGTAGTGCTACCCAAAAATGCAGGTCCACAGACACAGGGCTAGGCTGTCAGCATTTATCACTCGTTTCAATGGAGGCACTAGCATTAATACTCAAGCAGGATTTCCAACAGGCGTGCATACCTGCTGATGTGCACAGGCTGCTCTGAGCGGCACTGGGACTGGGATGGATGGACATCACCTGCTGGGGCAAGTGAAGCTTGGGAACTTGGGAGCAAGACTGGGGGCTAAAGGAAGCAGGAAAGTGGAGGAAACACCATCCGGGCACTCTGGTCTTGTAAAACCAGCACAGAGAGAAACGGAGGCCCCTAGAAGAAAACAGCAAATCCCAAAGTCTGGGAGAAACACTCCGTAAGCAAAGTGCATTGTTGGAAACAGAAAACCAAAGCGTTGCCTTTTATCTGATGGTTGTGAATTGCAGGGGGAGAATTGGGATGTTTCACAAATGTACCCACCTAAGTCCCAACGTTCAGTAGATGTAGTACCAGCCATTTCATTAGCTACAGCAGACCGGTCCGTGGCCTTGAACGGTCTTGGCTTCAGTAACACACTTTGCCGAGTGAACGAGGAAAGGGGACAGAGCCAGTGCCCGGCGAGCCCTCCGTGGCAGCTGGGAGCCCCGCTGCCCGGCAGCAGAGCGAGGGCAGGGCCCTGCCCCAGCCGGGCTTTCACCGCCCTGAGGGTTTCCCTGCAGGCCAGGCTCCACTCAGGACGGTGTCCAGTGCTGTGGCCACACCAGACCCGCCTGCCCCCCGCGGGGCCTGCGAGTGCCCTTCTGGGCCCGGAGAGCGGCCTGACGGGGGCCGGCCCTGACAGGGTCCCCTCCCGGGCACCCGGCCTCACCGGCGGGCGGGCACAGATCAGCGGCAACCAGCACCGACACCGGGTCCAGGGGGCAGAGGCGGGG